GAGTCGCAACTCCTTCTCTATATAAGCAACTAGCTTTCCGCCCGCGGCTTTTCTCGCGTTGAATCCATAAATAAATACCTTTCTTTAACCTTTCACCCCTTTACAACACGATTTTCTAATTAAAAAATAGCTTATGTCCTTTCTCAGCGTCTAGACTACCTGCGTATCAAATTTCATTTAAATCGGTTCACTAGTTATGGCGTGAAAGCAAGACAGACAGGGTTACATTCGCATTTATAATATTAGTATGGATAAGTGTGGGAAATTTCAAATCTCCTCCGTTCGCGCAATTGTCGTAAAGGGGTATTAAGTTTTTGCTTTACGTATTAATATATGGATTGTCTAACCTTGTCACACTAGTCGTTTAATAATGAACTGACGAGGTTCGAAGTCCTACGAAGGAACGGACCAGGTTCAATTCCTGAAGGTTAGCCTTGGTAGAGCCACCGCTTTTGTAAACCTGTTGCCATCTGATATAAATTCTATATTTATTCTACAAAAAGAGCTGCCCGAGGAATCTATAATATCGGAGCCCAGTATACACTCTGAGATCTTTTAAAAGAAAATATACTCACTGTTGCTTCTCAATATATTTATCCTGACATTTTGTATATTCGTCATAACCTTAATTATTACCTAAAGAATAGTGACAGACATAAATTAAACACTAGACATAAGGACAAACTAACTACGCCAATGTTTCGTCTACAAATAGGTCGTTCATAGGGCAAAGTGTGCGGATGTATAATAAAATCCCACAGTAGATTCCACACAGATATTATGTCTGCCACCTGATCAATTCAAACGCAAAACTAAAAGTTTACTCATGGCTAAAGCATATTATACGCCAATGCGTGGGGTTCGGCTTCGTGGACTCAAACAGGCAGAAATGATGACGATGAAGTCTGTATGTATGTATTTTAGCAAGACGGTCTCGCGCGAAGACCACGCTTAAAGAAGTTATCACTTCAAAGATATCTTTCTTCAGTCTTACTCTTTCGAAGGTCCAACGGTGATGTCCCATATCCGAGTACTCAGGGTAATCCCGCGGCAGCCAACCGATTGTGTGAATTAAGCCCACAAACAGCTGATCGCCCCTTTGTGAGAGTATTAGGCCCGATATCGCCCGTCATTCACTAGATTTACCGCGTCGAAGTAATCCGATCGCGTTAGCAAACGTTGCATATGTGTCATCATTTTAATTAAAGTAGTTTTTTATGTGAGAAGGCGGCAAGCGAGTTAAGTGATGACCGCCGCCCAATGATATTATATACGAATACGAAGTAGATATGACACTAGCGCGCCGAAACTGAGGCTTCAAACTACACCAATTGGTGTAATTCTATCGACCGCTATCTCTTTCCGTATCACACGTTCTGTATCATCTGTCGCATTCACTTATATATGTCATTTATAATGTAAAGCAAGTAGTAAAGTAAGAACAACTTTTAAACGCCGCGTAATATGGACATGGGTCGTCTATGTTATTAAAGATATTAATATGGATGATATAAATAATATTATATAGTAACTAGCTGCTGCCCGCGACTACGTCTGCGTAGAATAGACTGAAGGCGTAACATTCAAACAGAAAGACAGATATACATAAAATATGTCTTATTCTGATATATAAGCTATGTTATTGTAAAGTTTCATTAAAACCATTCAGCAGTATTTGCGTGAAAGAGTAAATAACATCCATCCTTACATACAAACTTTCGCATTTATAATATTAGTAAGGAAGTAAGGATATAGATAATAAAATAGACACTTTTGTAACCGACTTCAAAAATGGAGGAGGTTTCCAAATTGAAAAAGAGTAATATTTAACCTTTTACACTGCTTTTGTGTCAAAAACTTCTTTGAATTGAAATTTGCCCGGGAAGCGTAATATTGGTTTCACTTCCATTTCAACTATCGGATGACATGTGCATTTTCTTAAATGTTAACGGTAAAAAATATTAAGGATACTATGCAAAAACGGAAAATACCATGAAGAATAATAAATGTTGTGTCCACAGTCTTGGCGCGGAGGCGATTTTTGTTTGTTTCTCGTTTTCAATAATTCAACACGAAATTAAGCCGAGTTCGTAATTCGTGAAACGGAACACGTATCTCACTAAGGCGTGCGTCCTTGCAGTTTTACGTTTTTTCCAACTTCCTTCTGAGAACGCGAAGCTTACGGAATAAGCAAGTGTTTTATGTACAAGTCAATTTGACCGTTTTGTCCGTCGTGTAATAACTCTGTTCTTGAGTAGTCCTTTCCGTGGGGCGACGAATTATTCGCAAATGCTCTTACCTGATCGAGAATAAATCCGGCCAAGTGCGAGTTGGACTCGCGCACCCAGGGTTCCGTATCATCCATACTAATATTATAAATGCGAAAGTAACTCTGTCTGCCTGTCTCGCTTTCACGTCCAAACTACAGAACCGATTTAAATAAAATTTGGTACACATATAGTCCAGTCTGAGAAATGACATACGCTATTTTTTAATTGGAAAAAGGTTTATAAAGGGTTCTCGAGGGGGATAGGTAATTATTTAAGGACTTCAACGCGAGCGAAGCCGCGGGCAAAAATCATGTCAATATTTTTTTCTTTCTGTTTTTTAGTAATTGTTGTTATTAGCGGCAACAGGCATACATCATCTGGGAATATTACAACTGTCTAACTGTCACGGTTCATGAGATACAGGCTGGTGACAGACAGACAGCGGACTCTTAGTAATAAGGTACCGTTTTACCCTTTGGGCACGGAAACCTAAATAACATTGTTCAAGAGTAGCTCTTTCTATAAGGGCGACAAATTTGAAATAACTTTTACCTGATAGAGAATGAAAAGAGGTCGTGTAGATTTGCTACTGCGGTCTTACCTGTAGATATGTCTGAGCTTCCAATACACGACGGGTCGTAAGTTGGTTTGAAAATCTTTAGTTAACTAAGCTAGTATTATAAAGTTAAGCTGAATAATGATAATTGGGTCGTAGCCACCCTGATTTCGCTGGCTTTATCAGTTGCAAATCTTTGCCTTATTCAATAACAAGTCCGTTTTCCATTAAAGAAAAACAAAACCGACTCCAAATCGCTCTGTATTCATTTTATAATTGAGTTTCAAGAGTCTAAGTATCTCCGGATACCAAGATCCAATACCAATGAAATTATTATGGGACCACGTGGGGAGCACCAGCTTACAAATAAAAAAAGAATCCTCAAGATCGGTTCACTCGGGCGACAGCTCTGAGGTAACAAACATATAAAAAACAATACAGTCGAATTGAGAAATCCTCCTTTTTGAAGTCGATTGAAAAAAGATTTTTTACTCTTTCGATATGTACCGTAATCTGGCAGAAAGCACTTCAACGTCCGATGTCAAATGTGGTAACTAATGGTGCAAGTTATGCGCTAATTGATGTCTCTGAGTGCAGTCTACAGTCTACTTTAATAAATGGAAACTAAAGCTTTTCTTATCATCTACATACCTCCTACTATTCGACGTCTTACGATCCTGTTACGAGCAATTGTTTGCTGAAGGGAGCGAGGTGCGCTCGAGTACGCTACCATTTGCACTCGAAACGATTCAACGCCCACACAACTCGAACGAATCGAGTCTGTTCGTTTCTCATGTCGATATCGCATTATTTAATACTTTGCCCCTTATGTGAGGAATTTAATGAAATAATTCAAAAATCATTTCTTAGTAATCACGTTATATAAGTAAATCTTTTGCAAAATTTTATACCTCAATACTTTCAGTTTGCGCCTATAGTATTGTGTTTTTACAGCATTATAAATGTTACGTCTAAGATGATATCAATATTTTATATGATAAAAATGTTTTTAATTTATGCGCAGACGTACGTATGTAGCCGTGGAGTATTTCGAACGCGCCTCCGTAAAACAACATCTAAATAAGACGGGCGCAACGGTCTTTATTTATCAACTTAATAACGTCAAAATAATGAAGTGATATGTTTTAATAAGACGTAATCTCGCACATAGCATGACAGAGTTTCCCAAACCGTGTTCCGAAGAAAGTCAGTGCTGAGACTAACGTAAGCAGTTGTTGGTTATTATACAATTCAGCGTGTATGAAGAATTTCAATTCGATGCTTAGAGGCGAGTGATGAGCCATTTTATCATATTCACCTCTTTGTCTCTAACCATACAAACGTAATATTTTGATTACGATGGGTTAAGGTTGGTTAAGGCTGAAAAGCCTTCAATTAAGGCTTTTCTCTAGCTCTCTTACAATGTCGAATTCTAGCGCCGCTAGAAAAACTTGTTTCAATGAAGAACCGCCACAAGATTATATATATATATATAAGAGCCGTGATAGCTCAGTGTTAAAACGCTTGCTTTTAACTGAATATTCCGAGTAACCTGAGTTCGAATTCCGGTGCCGGCACCAATGAAATTGTTTAGTGCAATTTTAAGTGCTGAATTATCACGTGCTCAGTGGTCGTGGAAATTGTCGTGAGGTTATGTTTTGAGCAAGGAGGATTATATGTTTTCAAAATAATGTATTAAAAATATTTAGAGATTTCGAGGCTTTGATACCCTCTGTATAGAGGAGGGCTTTGCCTAGCTGTGGGACCTATATAATATGTTACTTTACTTTTTACTTTTATATAAACGCAGCGCCCGATTACGGTTTTATATCTAAAAATATATATTGTGTATACATATTTTGACTATTTTAAAAAAGGTTCAATCGTGGCATTGATCATTTTAGGAATTCGACCACATCCGTTTGAATTTCCGTGTTCGCGAACTGCTCTATTTTGGGCAAAGTTTGAGAAGCTCTGAACTAATCAATTGATTTAATCTTAACACGGGTTTACGCGCGGGCCCAATGAAGTTACGCAGCTGCGGCCCTGTGACGTAACATAACCGTAATTTAACAACCGGCCGGCCACTTACGACGCAGCGGACGGAGCCAAGATAAGGTTAATCGAGAGATAATGTACTCGCAGGTACAGCGTTTTCCATTGTACTCGGCTTAGGCTTCGATAGCGTGCCTCTTTTCAATGAGAATATTGATCTTACGGAAGACCGGCGTGAGAGCAATATAAGTTGGACTATTGTACTGTCGCTTCGTCTGGTGAGGTAACCGGGGCTCATTTTTGGACAGGACTAAAACGAAAGAGAATGCTCCAAACCGTCTATGATGTTTAATAATGTAGATGACGCATGTCCATACTATGCGGCGTTTAAAAATTGTTCCGCTTTACATTATATGACATACGAGATGCTGCCCGCGAGTACGTGTGCGTAGGATAGGTTGAATGCGTAAAATTCACACAGAAAGACAGATATACATAAAAATATGGATATAAATTATAGCCTATGTCTTATTCTGATGTATAAGCTATGTTATTGTTAGCTAAGTTTCATTAAAATCCATTCAGTAGTATTAGCGTGAATGAGTCATAAACATACATCCATACATACAAACGCCTTTATAATATTAGTAAGGATTAGTAAGGACATAAGTGAATGTGACAGATGATTAGAATTCTATCGAATTGATGTCTAATTACACCAATGGGTGTAAGTTAAGTCCCTCAATTTCTGTGCGCTAGTGTCATATCTTTGTATTTAATATCGTTGCAAACCGTCTTTTCAGCTTCGATGTTATCGCACCGAATACGGTTTTAATGAACTCAACCTTTGTGCAGAAACATTCGTGTTAAAAACGTTTTCCGGCACTCTCAATTAGTGATATTTTTCACACGATTACCTTTGCGTTTCGCCCCTCCAAATGAGACCACCCCAAAAGTCCGCACAGTTGTAGCTGGTGGTCATGCAGTGATGTACATTTAAACACAAAACTGCGGGTGAACACAAAAGATAATTAGTTCATCATTCCAGAAACTAACTTGTTGACTAATTAAGGGATAGCCATTGGTAGGGGTTTGCGCCCGCGCCGGACATCTGTCCGCGCGGGGCGGCAACGTCGCGCGGCTCGGGTTACGCGTCTCGCTCCCTCCAAGGACGCGCGCCATTGGCCATTGTCTCACATGCGTGCTTACTTGCTTACTTTTAACCGCGTTTTTGTCCCGGCCGAAATTGCCTTTAATAATCAAGGAGTGAAAAGTATGAACATCTTAATACAACACGTACCGTTGTCATTAATACTACAGACGCACGCAATGAATGTCCTTTATAATACACTAGCGCCCGCCCCTGCTTCGCATGGGTGCAATGTTAATACAAATATAAAACTTCCTCTTGAATCACTCTATCTAGTAAATATTTTTTTTCAAAAACACGACTTCAAGAAGGAAACTAAAAACATTGTTAATACCTATGACATTTGAGGATTGCCCTTGATTTCTCTAGGATTTCATCATCAGATCCTGGTTTCCTTATCGTGGTACCACCCTTGGAATATCTCCTCACCAACAAAACAAGAATCATCGAAATCGGTTCACAAACGACGAAGTTATCCATGAACACGCATAAAAAAATAAAAATAGATACAGAATTGAGAAACCTCCTCCTTTTTTGAAGTCGGATAAAAAAACCGCATCAAGATCCGTTGAGTACTTTGAAGATTTAAGCATACATAGGGACAGATAGCGGGACGACATTGTTTTATACTACTTACAATATAATACATGCATCCATGTACCCATGGAGTGCTTCTACAATGAGTTGACTTATCGACTTGCATGTCAAAAAAACTTGTGGACACGGATCAGCTTTTACACTTAAGCGGTTTCAAGTTGAACAAAACCACGCAATAACTTATAAGTTCTAGATCGAGGTGATTTAAGTTACTTAAGTTACTACACGCTAAATATCGAGGTGATTTAAGTTACCACACGCTAAATACTGTCTGTATTGTACTGTCTGTATTTAGCGTGTAGTAACTTAAAAGTTTACACTAAAGTTTACATAGTCGTTGGGAGTCTGAGATAAGACATCTGAAAAAGTGGGAATTTTAGACGTGCTCTCTTCTAAAGGGCTTAGTGTGAGCGAAAGGTGAAATGTTTCCTTGTACAGCCATCCCTTTTCATCCAATTTCGCCAATCCCAATATACCGTTAGGGACAAAGGTCATTCGGAGGAGATTTAAGGCTGCGTTTCCAATTTATTTTCAATTGACTGGTTTAAAATTTTTGCCTCCAAAATTATCGTGTTCTACACATAGTCACTGTCGCTAAAGTCAGCAGTTTATGTCAGCTACGGACATCTGCAACACCGAAGATGTTGCCAATCTACTTTACCCTTATCCAAGACAATGATGCCGTTAATAGTATTGCTTACGTTTTTTACGACAAAGATCCGAAACAATTATCAATGTGTCGCAAAAACACTTGCCCCGTGTGGGAATCGAACTCACGATCCCGACGTCGAAGCCAATAGTTTAGAAACCGCGCAATCGAGTCTACATCAGTCACCAGACTAAATCCCTGAGTAGGTACTGCTACAGTAGGAGTTGATGCGTGTTTATTCAGAACGAACGACAAGTTCAACAAAGCCTGTTCTTTCTTGTTGAATCACACAGCACAATACAATTCCTATTATATACGCACTTTTTTGTTATCGAAAAATTGTTTACCACCATTATTTTAACGGGACCCTATTACTAAGACACCGTTGTCTGTGTCAGTACCAGGCTGTATCTCATGTATCGTGATATTTAGCCAGTTGAAATTTTCACAGATGATGTATTTTTAGGTTTGAGTTTAAAGTTCCGAGTCCCTTTGAGCGTCCTGACCTCGTGGGAGGGGAGGGGAGCTATTAAATCATCCTGCGCGCATCCATCCAAACGTGTCTCATAAAAAACTCCGCCGCACTCTTTCGTTGTCCGATTGGTTGTAATTATACACAATGGATGTTAGTGAGTTTCATTGAATTCCATTCCTTTCTACGAATTCACGTCTTCTATTCGTTTAAGTGATTTAATGTTATAACGCCGTTTGTTACTGAAGTACTAACTAAAATCGATCAGTGACTTCTTGCGTAAACACTTAATAATAAATTCCCAATCGAAAAATCTCGTTGTCGCCCTAATTATAAACATTTATACATATATAGATATAAATGTTTATAATCAACTGACCACGCCTACTTGACACTAATAGACGTTGGTCTATTAGGGTAATTCTTGTTGGTGCAAACTACATTTAACCGATTCTATAGAGGCCATAGAAGTTCTTTCGTTTTAAACATTGCCCATTATAGATTATGGCATAAAGTATTCGTTGCCATGCCTTCGTAACCAATTTCATCATTATGTAAAAAAGTTACTCTCACAATTTTTTCCAAACGCGCCGACAAAAGTATAAACTCAATTGAGGGAATCCTCACTTTTTGGAGTCGGTTGAAAAGTCGACTGACGCCATCGACTTCGAATCCACGTCTTCAGAATGTACCAACCGACATTCAGTATAATTAAATATATATGCGCGCACAAAACGAAACGTATCAACGGCCGTGTTATGAATCCCACTCGATTGTTTTATAAATACAACTCAGCATTGAAGTCGCAGCGGGCTGCCTTTGAGTGCTGACGGCCATTTTCATAGGACGAGACGGTGCTCTCTCTATAAAATGAATAATATGTAGTAATATCGTGGTTGACTCCGTTATTAGACAAGAGGAAAAAGCCTGGATCGATTTTGACGGGACTTCTACTGGCAGATAGCTTTAATAAGGTCACACAGAACTTGGTCACTTTTATTTTCGAAATTTTATTCTTATTAGTCTTCTATAAGAATTCAAGACGCCAACCCTTCCGCTAGCAGTGGGTTCGATTCCTCAACAAATGCCAAACAGAATATGTTCTAACTGCCGTCTATGCAACTTGTATGTTCACAATGCAACACAATAATCTTGTTTACTGTTTCTTAGTCCAACACTAGCTCCTTAAGCGTTCCACGGTTTGAATCTCAAAGCGACGCAAGTTGATCTGCGATGCGGAGAGACGCAGCATCCTTGCTCCATTGTCTCGCCGCTAACCGGTTGTAGGATTGCAACCTTGAACCCGCGCGGTACATAATCGACTAGCGATGCCTCCCCGCATCACGCGCGATTTACGGCCGCTACCATTTTCTATCTATATGTCGATTTTTGTTGTGGTAAGACCACGTAACGGTGTCCGCTGTTGCACGAATGGGCAGGTCCGTCCGGGTGCCACGACCTCACAGAGGACCGGCGTGAAGTGGAACTTCGTTAGGAGAGTGAGGTAGCCGGGGCCCACTTTACTTAAATGTGATAACCCTTCGGGTGTTGTGCGTTCATGGGTGGCGGTTATCACTTCACATCAGGTGAACCGATAGCTAGCTTGGAAACTTGTCTCATAAAAAAAACTATCAGTCGGATTTGAAAAAATCTTTTTGTATTTAATAGCTCAATCTTTACGAAGTGTATAGAGTATTTGACATCACAATGCGACCTTCGGGGCGGAGCAGAAACGTTCGCGGATGAAATCGCTTGGAACGGCTAGTTTTATTATAGATGTTTTAAGACAATCGGGAGACAAGACAGACGGAAGGACAAACACCCAGGCGTCCCGTGTGGGGATCGAACCCACGACCCCCGACGCCTAAGCCAATACCTTGGCAACTGCGCCACGGAGTCAAAGGCTTAATGTTTACGAAACAGTTTTCGTAAACCGTTAATGGTCTAGTTTACGAACACTTGTAAGTTATCGTCCGCCGTGTCCCTCTACCGTTGCTTACACGAAACCACCCAAGTCCTGTCTGAATTCCATAGAATTACTACTAAGGTTTCGCCGACGCAAGCCGCTCGTGGCCACGCGGCTTTACACCAGTTAAACCGTTTTATTTTTAACACTTTAACATTAGTCTGACCCATATATAAACGCGAATGCAATTAAAGTTTCAATTCGTTGCAGTCATACGTATGGTTGACGCTTTGGATTCCCAAAAAAAAGGTAAGTTTTGACGCGTTTCCTTTTGAAGTGATTTTAAAGTTATTGTCATTTTTTATGTTTATCTAGTAGTAGCGACCCGCCCCGGCTTAGCACGGGTGCAATGTATTATACATATAAATTATAAATCTTCCTCTTGAGTCGCTCTATCTAGTAAAAAAAACTCATCAAGATCCGTAGCGTAGTAGATTTAAGCATACATAGGGACAAACAAACAGCAGACTTTGTTTTATACTATCATCAAAATCTTGATGCGGTTTTCTTACTAGATAGAGTGATTGAAGAGGAAGGTTTATATGTATCATTCATTGCACCCGTGCGAAGCCGGGGCGGGTCGCTAGTCTGTCTAAAAACATGTAAGTTGAAATCTGACCACACATAAGGTACACTGAATCTATTATTTCAATAAAAACAAGTCATTTAATAGATTGCATTATGTTTTAAGTTTATTAAATATATTACTACTAGCTCTTCACCCGCGGCTTCGCTCACGTTGAAGCCCTTAAATAAATATCTTTCAACCCTTTACAACACTTTTTTCCAATTAAAAAATAGCCTATGTCCTTTCTCAGGCTCTAGACTAACTGTGTATCAAATTTCATTTAAATCGGTTCAGTAGTTTTTGAGTGGAAGCGAGACAGACAGACACTTTTAGTTCACTTTCGCATTTATAATATTATTAGTATGGATTAAGTTCTTTGGATATAAATTAGCTTTCCCGTGACAACGAACGCTTTAAAGGGTCCGGAACGGCGGGAATTAAAATATAAAAACAATAAACGCGATAAATCCGTAAGCATAGTTTCATTTACAACGTGTAATCACGTAAACACAAGAAATTATCATTCTTTGGATACAGTTTGGCAAAGGTTTGGTCTCGGTGGAAGGTTACTCATTTTGCCTTGAAACACCCGCATGCAATTCAGACGAGGCAATTAAGAAATAATCATCAGATTCTTGCGAAATAGCGAATTGCAATCATACGTACCCTTCAAAAGGCCTGTGAAATGATTGTTGTAAATAGATAAACTGCTGTTTCTAAAAAAGTTTTTGTGCGCAATATTTTGCACATTTTGTAAGATTGTGTGATATTTTTCCTACG